TTTCCAGGCCAACCTCGATATGATCTCAGCATCTCAGAGTGGGAGGCTATCTACACTAATGTGTACCAGAGCAAGATATCACTCCATCCTATCCTTTACCAATGTGATTGCAGCCTCCAACATTTGCCTAAGGCACACTAAAAAGGGTCTCCCCCATGAAAAGCCCCTTTCACCCTGGGATCTCTCTGCTAGGATGCCTTCCCCAACATCGTGTCTCAATGGGCCATGGATCAGAATCCAAGAGAAGGACCCTGTATACACAGAGAGGCTAGAAGCAGTTTCTGCTGAAACTCACAGGCACTCTGGGCCTGAAGGGCCAGCAGGCACCTCCCGCACAGTCTGGGTAGACTGACTCCCCAGGCATTACGACAGCATCCCAATTCTCTCCACGAATAAAGGCATTACCGGAATTCTTTGGCGCCACAGCCTACATGGATGCAAGCCCTAATGAGTGGTAGCAGAGACACAGGGAAGCGTCTAATAAGGAAGTCACTTCGGGCCTCAGGGAATCGGGTTCATTGTTCTCACAAACCTTTTAGATCCTTTTTAATATGGCCAAGTAACTATTCAGTAAAGAGGGAGATGCTGACGCTGTTCTGGACCCTCTTCTACTTCTCTGATCTAGAACTGGGAAGAAGAGAAGCATACACTAGATTCCATTCTCCGACATCCAACTGGTGGAGTCAAAGAATGGAAGAATGTTTGGAATGGAAAGAGGCCTTTATGGCTGAACCCATCAAGGGGTTGGTCAGCCTCCAAGGAGGAGTCAATGACCACCTCCAGAATTAGTCCATTCTACTCTGATTCTTGGGAAGCATTTCCAGATTTCTAGACTAAATTTTGTGGGTAGCTACTTGGCACAGTGGTTAGAGTGTCTGGCCTCCAGTCAGGAAGACCTGAGTTCAAATCTGGCCTCAGACAGTTACTAGCTGTGTGACCCTGAGCAAGTCACTTCACTCTGTTAGCCCCAGTTTCCTCAACTGTCAAATGAGCTGGAGAAGGAAATGGCAAACCACTCCAGTATCTCTGTCCACAAAACCCCAAGTGGGGCCACCAAAATCGGACACAACTGACTGACCAGTCACAAAGGAGTCTCTCTCAAGGAAACACCCGCATATCCAGAAAGCAGAGAGATTAGGGCATTCACACACAATAGCAGCTTCTGTCTGCTGGGACACAAGCCGTACTAGGGGCCCTAGGGGCCTCAAACGCTTATTCATCTACTCAGTGAGGCGGCTCCCACCTCCAAAGGTCAGCTGGGCCTGGTGTGGAGTGCAGAAGTGACAGACAGGAAGCCAACTCCCCCATGAACAGGGACGGTGTCTTCTTTCATGGGAGCTGATTCTTTAAAAAATTAATTTTCCCCCCATAGGAAATAGGAGAGTTTGACTTTTACAAGAGCAAGTTTTCAAATCCTGGGCCATAGTTTTGAATTCTGGTTTGCTACTTACTACCTGTGTGACCCTAGACCAATCTCTCTGGGCCTCAGTTTCCTCAACTGTAAAATGAAGGGGTTGATTCCCTTCCAGATCCACATGATGTATTAAGCACCTACAATGTGCCAGGCACTGTGCTAAGCAGTTTATAGATTGATTGACTGACTGGAAAATGTAGTGACAAAGAATGATATCTTCCCCTATTCTCCAGGAGTGGGCAGGCATTCTCCAGCCCTTTTAAAGGGCTAGTCAACGTTTTTAAAAAGGGTTTCCCAGAGACTGGAGCAAACAATCACCCCGTTTGCACTGTCACAGACCAGCCACTAGCTTTGACTCCCTGCAGACCGAAGGAAGTCTGCCCCTTTGTACAGCCTTCACACACACACACACACACACACACACACACACACACACACACACTGCAGAAGATCCTAGGACTGAGGGACCCACGGCCACCTCAGGCTAGGGACAGCTTCCCTGACTGGGCCCCCGGCCCCCATCAGGCCCCCATCAGGCCTCACGAATCTCCATTGTTCATTTTGTAAACAAGTCAGCCATAAAGCAAACCCCTAGGAAGCCGAGCTTTATCAGTCTGGGAGCCAATCTGCAGCTGAGGACTAATTGTTCTCACATTTCTCCCATCAGGAGGCACAGGGGCTGGCACTCCAGGGCAGTTTCTGTGTTTATATATCAGCACAGCTTCTCTGCCCCTCCCCCCACCTTATCCATATTTTTTCTTTTGCTGATAAACCAGAGATCTGGGCATCATCCTCTCCCCTCTGGGAAACCTCATTTTCTGTAAAACTTTGGCCTTGCCCCCCAATTAATGGACCTTTTAGCCTGCCCCTGCCCCAACCTCAGAGCTCCAGTCATGTTTCCTTCTTCAGGGCCAGCACCAGGCTCGGGTTATGTGTCTATCTATGCCAACCTCTGGTCCACAGTGTGCATTTAAGTAGTAGCTTCCCTGGCTAATGTACCTCCAAATGCTTTCCCAACCATTCATTATTTTTTTATAGGAGCCTTAGGAAAAGCCTCCTGACCTCTTGGAGTGTAAAAGCAGGCCTAGTGCTCACTGGGAGGGCAGCTAAGCTCCCTGAGGGCCAGGGCAATCTCAAGGCGGGGCGGCCCTCTCTCCAGCACATCCAGGCTGCCTTCCCTGGCAGGTATCACTCCTTCACTAAGAGCTGCTTTCAAAGATCTGTCAGTCAAGAGTGCTTCTAGCATCTACTAGTTTCATGACCCTGAGGAAGTCACTTAATAGCTCTGGGAGCCTCTGTTTTTCTTCTCGGTTTTCTCCTCTGCAATACCTTAGGTACTTAGTTTCCCACACTTAAACCCTTTAGAGACATCAGCTGCTATCAGTATTGTCCATGTTAGGGGCCCAGCACAGCACCACGTACAAGCCTGCTTCCCAGTACAGGGTGGTCAGGATTAGCTGAGCCTTTCAGGAAAGCTCAAGGTTTATTTTAGTCACGATTGTAGACACTTGTGGAGGGAAGGACAGAGGAAAGAATGAGCCTTGCCGCCACAACCGGCAACCGGGAGGCCTCCCAGATGCCTCCCCAGATCTAACGTTGTCAGGTTCTCCTGGTAGCACAAGGTTACAATGAAAGCAGGTTTCAAAGCAGACAGCCCACCGTTTTCACTAACAATTCTGAGCAAGTCACCTAGACGGCCACCTCTCCTCATCAGACCATGTCATTCTGGCTGCAAAGGGCTCCCAAAGCAGGGATGACTCTTGCCTTCTCACCTTCCCTGCTGGAACAGAGATGCCAACCGGAGAAAGAGCAGAGAGCTTCCTCAATGGGTGGGTACACATACACACTCACCCGCAGTCCACCTCCACAGACAGTTGGCCCTGCTCTAGCTAAAGCTGAAAACAATTGTGACAATCCAAGGAAAGGCGAGCGTCCCAAGCGAGCCACGAGAAGTAGCTAAAAGCATTAACTTTGCCAAGGCTACAGCTCCCTGCCTGTTCATTTTCGGTCCATGAGCAGACTGGCAAAGGCACTCCTGGCGCTCTCGTCCGCCCAGCTGCTGGTTCAGCCTTAAGAACAGGAAAGCGATCTACCCGAAGTGGTCAGTTTCCCACCTGAGAAGCCACCACAGGGCGCTACAGAAGCCTCGGAGAGAGTCGGAGTGTGCCCTGGGAAGGTTCCCAGAGGGCACCTCGGGGCCCCAAGCCCTCTCCTCCGGCCCCAGGCAGAGACTCAACAAGGCAAACGCAAAGCAGGGCAGCCCTAAAGCAGGAGAGCGGGTGGGAGGTCCTGCTCTAAGCAGGGAAACTGCCTCCCGCTCTTCTGGCGTGAAGGCTGAGTGCAGCGCCACTGCCAGGGGCACCCAGGGACCTCCATTACCCGCAATTACAACCCAGGCAGCCAAGGAGCGATGCGCCGGGAGCGAAGCGGCAGAAAGCCAGGGCGATGACAAGGAGCTTCCCTGCTTGCCAGTGTGCGTGGGTGCTGCTATCCCTGGGTGCTCGGGTGGGTGTCCCCTCCCACCCGAAGAGATCGGGCCAGAGAGTGTGAGTGTGTGAGTTAGTGTTGAGTGTTTGTGTTGTGAGTGTTTGAATGTTACTATTCAAGTGTAAGAGTGTGTGTGTGTGTGTTGTGTGTGTGTGAGTGTGTGTGTTGTGTGTTGTGTGTGTGTGCTGTGTGTGTGGGGTGTGTGTGTGTTGTGTGAGTGTGTGTGTGTGCTGTGGGTGTGTGGTGTGTGTGTGTGTGTGTGTGTGTGTTGTGTGTGTGGTGTGTGGATTGTGTGTGGGTGTGTGTGTGTGGTGTGTGGTGTGTGTGTGTGTGCTGTGTGTGTGGGGGGTGTGTGTGTTGTGTGTGTGCTGTGTGTGTGGTGTGTGGGTTGTGTGTGGGTGTGTGTGGGTGGTGTGTTGTGTGTGTGTAGTGTGTGTGTGTGTGTGTGTGTGTGTGTGTGTGGTCGCCACCACTCAAGTCCAGCCACCTTCACTGGGCGCTTGGGGAAATCCCCTATTCCAACCCGTCCCTGCCCCTCTTTCCTAGGGCTGACCTGAGCCCGTGGCCCCGGCTGGACGCCTTCTTTTGGGGACCACAAGCCGCGGGCGCTGCACTATCCCCACCAAACCAGCACTCCGGCCGCCAAAGCTCCCTTCTCCTCCCCAGCCCGTCCTCATAGGGCGCCCACCTGAGGGCAGGAGAGCCAGCAACGAGCAAAAAGTAGGGGCGCGACGGTAGACGAGGCTGTGCGCCCGGCGCTGGCAAACCGGCCCCACGGGGGAAGGCGCCTCGAGGGCACAGAGCGGGATCGGAGCCGCAGGAAAGTGTGGGGAACAGCGTGTGTGGGGGGGGCGGTGCTCGCGGTCAGGGGCAGGGGGCGCCAGACACGTCCAGGACACCCCAGGAGCCGGGTGCGGGCATCTGCA